TATATAAACATCGCTAAACCCGATGTAATATAGCTAATCACCAAACATATGCCGTAAATCCATCAGGCTAGTTTTAAGGCTAATTACTAAATAAATCACGAAATTAATTTGGCTTTAGAGGTAAGCGTTAGGCACCATCTCTTATTAATATTAATAATTATAAATAAATTAATTAATTTAAATAATTTAGAACCGCTGGGAGAAAATTAATTTTATAAATTAAATTAATAATTTGAAATTGTTATTTATTAATTGTTTAATAATTATTATTAATATTTATAAACTATTTTAGTTTTTTCTTAAATATCTGAAACAAGTTACATGGATGCTTTCAAATTCCAAAATGAAACTAAATTTTTCTGCCAAAAACAGCTACATAATATCTGTAACAATGCCATCTATTGGAGAAATAGTGAAATAAACATTAGTGAAATAAAATAATTATTTCACTATTTCTAACATCAGAGATATTAAAATAAAAATTTCTAGGGCATTTTTTGCATCAAACATATGACCTACATCAAAGCAAAAAAAGTGATCAATGCACGTGGATGTATGGGATGCAACAGTATCTGAGAAGGGATAAAAGTTACTGGTGAATACCTGATTGGTTAAGGTGTCATCCTACTACTCCTAGGGACTCTGGATTTACTCGAGAGTTCCTAGGAGCAGTCAAAATGGTCAAAAAAAATAATAGGAATTTTTTGGCTGTTGGTCCATCTCAGATATGACATGTCCTGTCCCCCACCACCTCATTCTGGGCTTTGATTAAAAGGCCTTCTTAGTGCACAAAGGTGAAAGAACTAAAAATATTATTTATTTCTTTATGATGAAAATAATACACACACAAGAACAGTCAATCTCATTCTGATTTTATTTAATTTAATGTACAGTACATATACTTTAGGAATCATATTTTTCTTAACTATAGCTATTTATTTTCTCCATTAACTTTTTACTATTTTTTTCTTTAAAAATTTACAGTATAATTATAGTTTAATTGTGTTTTAGATTTTATATGTATGTAAAATCATTAATACTAGTTTGTAAGTTTTGAGTAAATATTGTCTAGAATGGAAAAATGTTGGGAATTTTTATATTTGTTTCAAAAATGTGCTATCTTTGCTTCAACAAGTTAATAGAAAGACATCCGTGAATGACAAGTTGACAAAAGAATGTGCTTTCCTCACTAAAATTATGTCATCTGTTTGTCGAATTTTGAAACTCCTGCCAAGTTATTTGCATCTATAAGTAGCTTCCTGCATATGACATTTTTTTTTCTTTTGGCACTATCGAGACATTTTCTTTCTATGACAAAATAGCAGGATAAAAGTTGAAACAAAATCAAAAATTAACAAAGCAGAAACTGCTTACATAACAAATTGTTACACATCATTTATACATGTTATGTCTTTTTTTATATGTAAACATTGCTAATTTTATTATTTACCTACTTTTAATTTTTATTGAAATGTTTTAATATATAATTATTTCAGCTGTAATTTTTGTTTTATCTTTCAGCAATCTATCAATAATGTCAGGGATAAATTGAATCAAATTCAGCATTTCCAAAACCAAAGAAGATCAATCGGAACTCGTCGCCAGAATATCCAGGAACACAATCATTCTGCCATAAATACTTTCTCCATTATTATTATAATAACTATGTTTCTAGTTGGAAGTGTTCAAGTCATAATGGTAAGAAGTTTGTTTGAAGAAAAAAGTAAACTGCACAAAATATTTAAACTATTATCATAAGGAAGTAGAGTTTACACAATTAGATTTTAAATTGTTTTGTTATTTTACTTATAATTCTTGACCAATGAGATTTTAGAATATAAAATTCATCAGCACACTGTAATTAGGGATGTACTGACTGTTGGTTTTAATATTGGTTGGTTATCAGTTATTAAAAATTACAAATTAAAATATTTGCAATAATCCATCATTAACCTTTATAATAAACAATGACATATATTTACACTGAAAATTTATTTACAAACAACTAAGTTTATAATGTGTACACAAACTAAGAATTTAATTTAGTATTATACTTAACTAAATTTATATTTTGCTAATAGAATCCTATCTTGTAATTGACAAGACTATATCTTGTCTCTAAAATCACGCTACTGTCAACGGCTGCACATCTTAGAGGTATGAAGGGACTACGTGTCAGGAGTTGCAATTTAGGACAGAGTATTTGGTGCCCAAATCATGCGCACACGAAATAAACCTGACTTGTAGGTAGTCAGGGGACCAAAAACCGGGTCAAAATAAAATATGAAATGTTGAAACTGTTTCTACAAATAGAAGTGAGTGCGAGATATGCGCATGCGTTGCTCGTGTTCTCCAAGACACGGTCTCGTCCCAAAAATGGCTTCGTCATTTTACTTGGTTTTAAGATAGAATAAGTAGTTTTTGAAAGATAACATTATGACAGCTGCGTTTTATATATGTCATTTAAAAATTATTTTTGACTTGAAAATGGCTTATTCTGTAATTCTGAACAAACTCTTAGTTTTGTCCAGAATTTATTAATGTGTGTGAAGAAACCTTCATAGAACAAAGGATTGAAATATTTTAATATTGTAATTATTAAATTATATGGATGAATTAGTCCTTTGTATAGACTGGTTTTTTAATTAGGAAAGACAAAAATTTTATACTGCATGTAATTTTGTAAGTTTAAAAAAGAAAAAATTATCATCTTACAGAAAATATGAATTTTTTTCAATTTTAGAAAATAAATTTCATATTTGATCTGATAAAATTACCTTATCTGTTCTTCCTGACAATTGATTACTTTTTAATAATTCCAATTTACATAGAATAAATAAAAATTAGTTAAAAGAACATTTGCTTGAAGAATCAAAGGCTGATTTTTTAATTCAGCAAAAAGCTAATAAAGCAGATTTTATTTGCTTTTTTTGGAATTAGGAATTTTTCAATAAATAAACTAATAAATTCACATTCTTCATTGAACAAACAACTTCATGAATAAACAACTTCACATTAAGGTGTGAAGTTGTTTATTGTTTATCAATAATAAAACTGCAAATTAAATACACTAATCATTTATTAGATATTTTACATTTTATTGGAACTGTGTTCATATTTCTACAGTTTAATTTGCAGAAAAAGATTCTGAACTGCAAGAAAGTTAATACTATTATTTTCTAATTACATAACTTTTAAAAACCATAGAAGAATATATTTGTCATTTTTAGACTATGCTTGTTAATAATGCACTAAAAGGAAGATTACTACTATATTACGTTAACAAAAAAAAAGTACAAACACAACTAGCCAATTGACTGGAAAAACTGTATTCAGCACATCCCTAATTATAATTTAAGCATATTTTTTTTATTTCCATTCTCGTGTCACATATTTGAAACTTATTTCTACTTTTTAAGTTGTGTTTAAATGTGATATTTTATAAATTTACACAAATTGTGAATATATTATATATATTACATTGTCAAATATAACATTTTACAGTATTTATATTATATTAATATAATAAAAATTTCAAAATGACTACTCAATTATAAGTTCTGTTAATCAAAATGAAAAATTTTTGGCAAAAATGTTTTTCAATGATTAAAATACTTTTATAAAAGTATTTTAATTAAAATTTTGCATCAATGTAATTGATCAATAATAAAGCTGATCTTATTTATAAACAAACGTATTTTTTGTTTAAGAAATATATTACTCATTTATGTACAATTTATTATTATTAATAGTAATGAAAGACTTCATTACTGTATATTAATAAAGGGATAATAATTTCAAAATCAAATAAATAAAATTGTTGATCGTGAGAATTAATTATCTGACGTTTCAAGTCCACTTTATTGGTAGTTGTTAATAATTTAAAAAACTTTGGAAGATGCAAAAATTAATAAGATCTTTACAAGTCTTCCAAGAAATATTCAGAGAAAAACATGCATGAAAGAGTAATGGTCTTCAAAATGTTATATTTTTCTAATTATGTTTGTTGTAAAGTCGGCTAAGATTTTATGTTTGTTAATTACAAGAGTATCCATGGGAAGTTTTCCAATTTATATCCAAAAGAAAAAATTATTTTGGTTTCTGTATTTGTTAACTAAATTATTACAGCAGAAGTTTATTAATCTGGCATCCAATAATCCAGAATGTCTAGTAAACATAGCTTTGAAACATAGCTGATAATCCAGCATGCTAGTATTCTGCAAATTGAGTTTTTTGGGCATGTGGTGTGAAAATAATTCATTCATATTGTAATAATAATAATGTAAATATTGTAAATATTCAATAACATGATTACTGACATTTTTACAGTATATGACTGAGATTATTCAGTCAAGTTTAACAATCTTTTCAGACTATGATTTGTTTAAGCATATTTAATCAATCATATAAAATATGGCTATATTTTTGAATCAGCACACACTAACTGCAACATTCAGATTGTATATAACTTGCCACCAAATTTTTTGCAAAATACAATTATATCCAATAATGTGACACAACTTTAGTCCTGTAGCTGCTGGACTAAGGAACTTCTACTATACATTCAGTATATTGTTGGTTTGTCTTATATAAAAATCTCATTAGTAATATTGGAAATTTTGTNATATTAATAAAGGGATAATAATTTCAAAATCAAATAAATAAAATTGTTGATCGTGAGAATTAATTATCTGACGTTTCAAGTCCACTTTATTGGTAGTTGTTAATAATTTAAAAAACTTTGGAAGATGCAAAAATTAATAAGATCTTTACAAGTCTTCCAAGAAATATTCAGAGAAAAACATGCATGAAAGAGTAATGGTCTTCAAAATGTTATATTTTTCTAATTATGTTTGTTGTAAAGTCGGCTAAGATTTTATGTTTGTTAATTACAAGAGTATCCATGGGAAGTTTTCCAATTTATATCCAAAAGAAAAAATTATTTTGGTTTCTGTATTTGTTAACTAAATTATTACAGCAGAAGTTTATTAATCTGGCATCCAATAATCCAGAATGTCTAGTAAACATAGCTTTGAAACATAGCTGATAATCCAGCATGCTAGTATTCTGCAAATTGAGTTTTTTGGGCATGTGGTGTGAAAATAATTCATTCATATTGTAATAATAATAATGTAAATATTGTAAATATTCAATAACATGATTACTGACATTTTTACAGTATATGACTGAGATTATTCAGTCAAGTTTAACAATCTTTTCAGACTATGATTTGTTTAAGCATATTTAATCAATCATATAAAATATGGCTATATTTTTGAATCAGCACACACTAACTGCAACATTCAGATTGTATATAACTTACCACCAAATTTTTTGCAAAATACAATTATATCCAATAATGTGACACAACTTTAGTCCTGTAGCTGCTGGACTAAGGAACTTCTACTATACATTCAGTATATTGTTGGTTTGTCTTATATAAAAATCTCATTAGTAATATTGGAAATTTTGTCTTGTATTACGTTTTGGAAATGTTAATTTTTTTTTTAAAAAAAACCTGTACAGATTACTCATTATAATTTTTATTTATTACATTTATAATAGTATCAAACAGCATTTGTTATATTATAATAATACATCTATTATTGGTAACAAAGCTTATAGAAAGATATGTACAACAACAATTTTTTTAATTGTTTTTTTATATAAAATTCTATATTATATTTTGCTTCATTTGACAATTTTGCATATGGCATACTATCACAAATTACAATCATTGTCACAAACACATTTCTAATTTACAAATTTACTTAAGCATTTTATACACAAATGTACAAATTAATTCACTTATATAGATATATATATATATTTTTGTATACATACATTTTTAAATATACTCTTTCATTGAGAGAGAATATAATTAAAAAATTGAAATTTTAAAGATACCAGGATATTATTAGTGGTCCCTGGTTATATAAAGATGAGACTGGAATTTTGATTATAAATCTAGCAATTGATGATAATCATAATAATCTATCGGATACAAACGTTAAAATTTTGGCTTCACTCACTCTGTAATTAGAAGTGTAATACGTATTGTATAATATAAAAGGAATAATTGATTCGAATATAGAAATAATCAACTGCTCCCATGTGTGATAGATGCATACTGTGTGTATGAAAATATTCATTTATTTCCTAAAACTTTAATATCTGCACAGATAAAAATTCCCTGCAATTTTTGGCAATCTGACAAAAGGTGTTTAGCACGTCAAGGCACACCATTTTTAGTTTTTTTTTTGCATCTAAGTTAAAATAGAATTTGCAAATTTTCTTCCATATCAGTTGTGAAGTATATATGATTTTAGTATACAAAATTCTTTGTTTTCTTATTGGTAAATAAACTCCATGTGGCATGGAAAAATGTAGTCACCTATAAGATTGCTCTCAGCGGTGACAATGTGCCAATATCATTTGATTTTTTTGGCACAACATGGACAAATCCAGGTTTGATGTTAATTAAGTTTGCTGCTTTGAAATGTGCCTATGTGAATACTTGCCAATGGACATTAAGATTCATTGTAGACAGATTGTGGCCATGTAGAAAGGCAATTTTGGATGTTCTAGTCAGATTTTTGTCACATCACCATCTGCTACACTAAATAGCCAACGGCTTATAAAAATTTATGTTTTGGCATAAAGAACTTTCAAATTCATTATAACAGTATATTATATGCATAGATGTAATTCAAACAGTTCAAATGTTTTAAAATTTCACTACATCAAAATAGTTTATAATTTTTCACATTTATATATATTTTTCTACAATATAATACAATTGATAATTTAACTTTTTCTTAGTAGATAAATATTTTTGATAATCCAAAAGTTAATAGTCTGCCATTAATGAATCTGAAAAGTTGCATTTTGGATGATGATTGGTAGACTCTTGATTATCCTTTACAGATGGGAAAGACAATCTTTGATAAGCAAACTGACAGTTGCTGCTTGGCCGGCAAAACATTTGCATTTTTATACATTGTAACATACCATTTTGTCATAAATCAAAATCTATTTGCCACTACATTTGTACCATCTGGTGCAAAATATTTAGTTGTATGTCTTAACAAATTTTTGCAATTGTCTTTTTCTCTACTTACTACTATTGGACATGTTGCTAGATCCAAACCCGATAGCCAAGAGTCTACCGCATAATACTGCATTAATGTTAAAACTTGTTCGAAATCGATTAATCTAAATGACTCATTAGATGTATATCTATACATTGTATTTCCAAATTTAAAACTTATCTTCACGTTATAGTTAATTTTTAAATGAATCTTTTACAGTATAGTATTAATAAATATTATCTAATACTTTTTGAATAAGGACTTGCTTGTGTGTTATAACGATTTCTTTTATAAATGCATTGTGTTTTTTTGTATGTTAAATTTCTGCAAGAAATACAACTTATATTTGTTACAAACAAAATATTTTTGCCAACATTCAAATAGAAATTAACTTCAAAAAATAAATTTGTTATTGTTGGACTTTAAAATCAATTCAAAATTGGCTTCTCTCATTCTTTATGAAGATAATGAAGAATATAGTGCAGAACCAAATCATAGCAGTACTTATATTCTGTCTGTTAAAAAATATAATTTTACAACATTAGTATTTTGCAATGGCAAAAACAAAAGCTAATAAGATAAAATATAAGTCATACGATGTCTAATGTTATTCTGATATTTCTCTTCAAAAGTAAAAAGGATTCTCTCTAGATTCAGACTACATTATAACTTCTGCTTCAAAAAGTTTTTAGCAATTATTATTAATTCCATTTAATTCTACAAACCAACAACCATGCAATTTTGGAACCTTGCTCTGCCATCAGGTTCCACTTACAAAAATTCATTAAATGGAACATTTGATCATAAATCATTTATTTTAATTCAGATTTTTTTTTAATATTTCTAAATTAAATACTTCCCTGAACTGTTTTCGCTTCAGAAAAATCTAAATGTAAAATATTCATAAATCAAATGCTTCTGAAATGAAAACAGTTGAGGGGTGTATTTAATTTAAAAATAGTCAAAAAAATCTGAATTAAAATAAATGATTGATGAATTTTTGTAAGTGGAGCCAGATGGCAGAGCAAGGTTCCAAAAGTGCATGGTTGTTGGTTTATGTTTTTTGTTTTCATTTGTCAAAACAAAGAATGATGATTTTATTTTTGAACTGTAACAACAGATTACTGTTTTGTTATTAATACAAAAATTCACTATCAAATGAATTCAAAGTAACACTACACATTAATTATAATTGTTTGCTTGTTATTTTTTCCTTTTAAGAACATTTGAAAATGTAAACATATCTTTATTATCCAGAAGTTTAATTTTAAAAAAGTAAGTACATAAACAAATTCCTTGTGTGTTATTGTCATCAGTTATTTAATAAATTAGATCCCATTGTGATCTCTATCTACATTTTGTCATCATTTCACAGTGCAAAATCTTTTGATAGTAGAAAGATACTTTTTACTATTTAATAGATTGATTTGCTTAAATGAAATTATTTACCGTATTTTGACGAGTACAAGTTGCTGTCAAATATAAGACGCATCCCTATTTTGAGAAAAAAAACTTTTTTAGTGGGATTGTCCAAAGATGCATTTTATTAATCATAGTGGCCAAGAAATCTTCAACTGAATCACTGCTATCTACCGGTAAATTACACCCATTAGGAACATATCTATGACGTCATTAATGATTGATTTATCATCCCTTTCTTCTTGAATTCCCGAAGTATTGACTGAATTATCATCATCAGAATCTTCATAGATTGCCTCATCTTCTGTACCATCCATGACGATTATTTCAGTTTATCGATTTATCCATCGTCATATTCTTGAATAAAAAACGAATAAAATGCTTTATTAAACTGAAATAATTATCACTTCTTAATGTAAACTCAGAGGTCACGCGATGACTCGTGTGTCGGTACTCTGATAATCTAGGTACTCTAGCCATTTGGTTGAGGGACCATCTACTTAGTTAACAGACCACCGCACAGGTTGGTCCCTAGAGTGGACTACTACTGTAGATAATTTCACTGTAAAAATGGTTACTTGTCGAGTATAAGACGCACCATGATTTTGAGCCCCAAAAAGTAGTGAAAAAAGTGCGACTTATATTCGTCAAAATACGGTAGTTAATATACATTAATAAATATGCTGTATTTACTATATAAAAAGCACATCCCCAAAGAAATTGTTTTCAGACATAAAATATATGCATTCCAGATGCTCCAGATAATAAAAGATATGTTCAGACCCATGTTTTTTATGTAGCGAAAATATAGTAGTACAATTTATTTACAGATATTAAAAAATTAGTGTTAAAAATTCTGTTTTAATTAAATTTGTATCAACAAAAAAATGAAGTTAATATTAAATTATGGTGAATATGGGATGTAATAATTACCATATTTTCGACAAGTTGAGGTCTATGGCGACGGACTGTCTTCACAGCTTGGAAAATGTCAACTTCTCTGTGTTGTACAACCTGCTCTGTCGCTACATTTGCAGCACAATACACTCCTACCCTACTCCTTCCATTCCTTTAGCAAAATGAATTGTTTGAATTATTCATTTGATTACATTAATACAGTACATTTATTTAATTCTAACAATCTATTCTGCATGTTTTATTAAAATTATTTTTTTTAATCGGATACTTACGCAGATAACACCACGACCGGGCCATACTCCGTTCTCTGCCTCCATCTCTCTACCATGTTCATCAATTCTACTAAAGCATTAGTAGACGTAGGCACTTTGTGACCTACCGGCCAACACGTCAGTTGAAACAACTGAGTCGTTCTCGGTTCGGCTTTGACACCGGCCATCAGTTCCGTGAGCGACACTATCTGTGGAAATTTTTTGTACCCCTTAGTTTGTACCAAACTTTTTAATTTAATACACGACAAAATAGAAACTCCAAATATTTAACATCAAAAAGTAAAAATTCAACATGTTCAAGGTCAAATTAGAAATATAATAGAATTATATATTTGTCTACATCTAATTTACAGGAAACTAAGAAGATTTGGTGATCATTGGGTGTGTCTAACACTAAAATAATTTGTAAGTAATGTGTACAAGGTGCAAATATCTACAGTATGATGGGAAAAAATACTAAAAAATGACTATATATTTATCCATTCATTGTTTCCAAAACATTAAATACTTATTGCACCATTATATTACCTAAAATTCATAACAATTTCTGTTTGCTCTTATATTGTAATTTTTTTTACAAATATACTTAATATTTCCTAAAACAGCTTGGTTCTTACATAAAAATCCTATTGTCTTGCAATTTGGGATGAAAATTTTTATCTGCAATTATTTCGAATCAAAGAGAAACCATAAGCACAAAATAAGTTGATTATGATATCTATCTGATCCACAATAAGCTTTAAATGCTTAACATCCGAAAAATAAATTAAAATGCTTATTGGTATATATACAGACTTATAAATTAAACTGATTATTCTTTACAAACAAGTATGATGATTATATAAAGTTTACTTTACTGTAATCAGTATTTATTATATTACCTTAAGTCTATTTGAATTGAAAACTGTTTAATGCTGTTTAAAAGCTAACAAAAAATCCTAGACTTGCAAAGATTTATTTAAATTTTAAATGGTTTTTGGAAGAATTGTCAGTTCAACTGTATTTTGTCAAGATGAAAACCGACGTAGTTCCGAAAAGATCATACGAACAATAATATTTGCTATCTAAGAACTAAGCTGTTAATATAGAATATTCAAATTTTAGTTAAAATTTACAATAAAGAAAGTAAATATACATAAATATATTAGAAAAAGATTTACAAGAAAACAATGAATTTAAATATATAGGATTTGTAATCATGCGATATTATTTAGGAGGTAATTTACAAGTGTTTATAAATTTATTCCATTATTTTAAAAAAAGGAGGGAAAATTATATTGCTTTTATTTTCTTTAAAAAATAGACAAATAGAATAATGGCATTATTGAGGATTATTTTTTTCTCCTTATGTTTAACAGAGCACTATTCCAAACATTCCTCTTTCTTAATTTGTGTAGGATTTGACACACATTAATGTAATTCATCATCATTTATACATATTTAAATTAATATTCCTTGGCACTCATTAAAAGTTTCATTGAATGATGTAAGGTATTGTTGAAGTGGCATACAATTCTAAGAGGATGATATTATTATTTTACTGAAAGTTACGGAAGAATAAAAAAAGACATTTAATGGCAAATCGCAAGAGAAATTTCTTCATATAGAATTAGTTAATAAAGACATAACTTATTCTATAACGTGTGTTATAATATGAAACATTACTTCAAAAACTAATTCTATAAAATATATTTATCTTTCTACGTCCCTAAGATTCATTATTAATTTTATATCCAAGTTTTCTAGGAGTTTTATAGTATAATTATAAAATAAATATCTTTTTGTGAAGATTTGTCTTGTCTTTTGTAATATTGTTAAGACAATTCACACTTAAAAGCCCAATTCCATTGCCATTAATTGATTTTTTAGGGTGGGATGATGTCTTAAAGAAAATAAAAGTGCAGGCAATTACTATTATTATTTTGTATAGCAGAGAAATCGAAATTTATTATTATCTCCCAAATAATATATTCTAACTTCTTACGGGAATCGGGTAGTCGTATAGAGGATACGAATATTGGATTTAGGGTAAAAGTAAACAAATTGTCAAAACTTGTGCTGGAAGAACCTGGGTGGCAGACGTGGATGCTCTCGGTTGTGAATCTGTGCACTTAAATATCCCGGGAATGAAGTGGTAAGAGGAACGATAAGACTTCTGAACAAACGTGTAGGGACGTCACAAGCACACGGCGTGAAAACAGAGAAACAACTTTACGGTTAAGTCGTGTAATATAATAAAGAGCTGACTGACATAAACACAAAAATGTTGAAGATTAGTAGAAATTAGGGAAGAAGGATTAAAAAGAAATGTTATTTTGTGGGCTGGTATATTCAATTAAGTTATACATCATAAAATTACTATTAAAAATACCTTCTTTAAAATCTTGAAGATCCACGTTTTGATATTGGGATAATGGTTATAGGAGACCAGTTCTACCGTGAAAACGGGTCCGTACTTTTTTCGTTTCTCTCTCTCTGTGGGCCAAAACGGAGGAAATGCCTAAAAAGAAACATTCGTCGCCATCATTAAAATACAAACATTTTATCACACAATTTTAAAGTTGCTTTATAAATAGTAAAAATTGCATGAAAATTCCTTCTAATATTGATGTTTAACATAAAAACTGGCTTAATTTACAAATGAAAAAAAAAAAAAACAAATTTAAATCTTAACTTCAAAACAATCCTTATTTGTGTTCAGAAATTTAAACACAGTTAAAATGTTTACAAAGTAGCAAAAGATCCCTTCCCGAAAGAGTTTTACAAAGGCCAAAACAATAGTTTCGAGTGTTACCAAGCGAGTTCCATTAACCAAGAGATAAAAAAAAAAAGAAGATTATAGTGGAAGAATTTTAGTTTTTCTACAGTGAATGCGTTACAACGCAAAGTCATTGTTTAATATGTTAAAAGAATAGAGCAAAATTGACCGTAAAGCACATTTTTTTTTACCCCTCCCGAGATAAAATCCTACGGTAATAAACAAGAAACACCCCGTAAATAAATACTCACATTACAAGGAACTGGACTGCATAAGACGATGACTGAATTACATTCGTGATCGTACACCAACGACCAAAAATCCGCGATGGTTTTCTGTAAAGGCCACTCCGTCACGATGTATTCCTTTGGTCTGGTATAACCCTAAAGAATAAAAATCAAAAATATTTAAAAAAGACTTTACACTAAGTACATCCTGCACCACTAATTTGTCTACTGTATTTCTAAAACACTACTATAAACTTGAATCAAGCATAGGCTATATACCACCGACAATTGCATAGAAGTAGATAAAGGGAAAGCTATACCTGTCGACCCCCCTATAACACTGTTGATTTTTCCGTTTTATATGAATTCCATGTTGTACGAGTCACTTAGATTTTACAAATACGTGCGCCAGACTGTGAACGGCTTATGTATTTGTAAAATCTAAGTGACTCGTACAACATGGAATTCATATAAAACGGAATTATCTACAGTGTTATAGGGGGTCGACTGTATTCTCCTCTGGGTATTTTAAATTATAACTCGGTCAGAATATGTAACAAATCATTGTAAAATGCTATCTATTCTCGTAAGTATCGATTCATTCTACCGCCCGCTTGAATTATTGTTATTGATTAAAGTAATTCTTGTAAATTTACATACGCTTTACTTAAGTAATATATTTTTACAAATTCTCGGATTAATTAATTAATTAATTTCTTTTCGCTTCGTCTCCTTAATTTTATGCCACTTAAAGTTAGGGCAACTTATCTTTTAAAATATTAAATGTCGAGATTTATATAAAAAGTAAAGGCTACAATATAATAGAATTTTTAAGAGGGAAGAGAGACAGGCAATTCGATAGTCTAAAAGGAGCATCTACAGCCTCCAGAGACCTTACAAACTCTATTATAATTTTAATAAAATAGATCACGTGCCGGTGATATAAATATCTAATAATAAAATGTAACCATGCTTTATCTCATTCGCCAATAGAAAATGATGTTTACACCACGAAACACTCCAACGACATTTCTGGATACAAAGAAACACGTGTCATATCTAAGTCACGTCACGAAGAATACCAATGATAAATATCTAATAATAAGTACACACGTTACGCTTTTCTCGTCCCCCCTCCCTAGGCTTAAGCCTAGAAGGGGGACGAGAAATATTGTTTAATTGATACGTTATGTAACGTAACTTAATGTCACTTTAATCTATCCAACAAAGAAGAGGACAGGGAGCAAGGTCAGGGAAGCCTTACTAAATCTCAACGAAGGCCAGGGTGATATATATATATAACGATTTTACAGTGGATAAATAGGATTAATTCCGTTTAAACAGTAAATATTCAGCGATAGTTAATAAACTGGATCTTTTTTTTTCCCCACCATTTTCGTTACTAACTACCCACCTTTTCCTACATTATCTCTAATGAAGTGTTCCGTTTACAATATAAATAACCGAAGCCGTTAATGACTTTCCTCCATACTGTTTAATTATTTACGCAAACATATATTACATAAGATTAAAATAAACACAATTAGTTTAAACACGGTTAATATTTTATTATTCCAAAAAAAAAAACAAAAACAAAAGAAAGCTTTGTTTTGGTGTTTCGCTTTGCCAACAGGGATCCATATTTTTAATGCGGCAATATAATTTTCCTTCCCAGAAAACAATTTTTGTATATTTAAAAAGGGGTCATAAAAATACCTCGTTTAGTTTGATACTCGGTTAACAGATGGCAGACAGTTTTAAAACAATAGAAATCGATGGTTCTTCGAATGGCAACGTTAACAAACGAATAGAAAGTTTTTATTACGTTAACACATCGATCGCCAATTTTACAACCTTCTCCGCCATTTTATAAATATTCCAGCATATATTTTCTTTATAAATTAATTAAAAAACACTGAAGAACAGTTGTTCTTTCAACCGAAAGAACAATTGTTTAAAAACATTTACGCCAAAATTTAGGAGGAGGATAAAGTAAATTTGGCAACTGTATTCATAACAATGTTTATCCTTTAAAAAATAATAATCCATTAAAACGATAACAAAAAAAGTTAGTCGGGCGGAAAATATATTTATTATAGAAAAAATAGAAAATCTAGAATTATGACGTAACGAATATTTGAAATAACGGTTAGATGCGCGTAGAATGAATTATTTACATAGTTCTGTAAATAAGTAATGACGTTTAATTGATTCGGAAATACTTGAAAGTCGCAAACATTGGAGAAAATATGTTACGCTACCGATTGGCCTTGCTCTGACAATTACGCCGATGCTAATTATTTCCAAACGTTAATGAACGTTCCCGTTACTGTTTGGTACCGAATTAAACTGTTTACTACCATTCTAACACAATATAAAACGATAATTTCGCTTCTGTTAGTATCTGTAATGTATTTGTATAGAGTACAATACAAATTCGCTTCGAAATAACGCATCTTAATTGACGTTACTCGTTATAACGACCTCCTTTATCTCTCCAACCCCTCGACCTTTAACCACCAAAATTTAACACCGTTAATCCCCCTAATAAATAAACCTACCTGCCAAATTTCAGAAATTTTCGACAAAAAACTCAGGAGTTATTAAGCTTTAAAAGGAGGGAATTCTACTCTTTAAGAACCTCTTCACAATACTCAAATACTTGCCAGATAATTTTACAAATATCAAAACCCACTTAAGCGTTATAAAATTCGCAATAAAATGGGAAAAGTATTCGTTTAATTAACGATAATAATCTACCGGAGTGTAATGAATTCTCGAAGAGAAATTTGCAATTCAGAGAATTATTATACACTAGGAAGCTTCTCCCCGAGGAATTTTTAAAGATTTACTTGTCTTATAAATCATGCAACTCTCTCAAAACTTTAAATAAAGTCTTTCTTAAAATACGAATTTACATATTAAATCAACAGATTAAATTATATTCACGCGTGTTTAGGCCGAAATCTGCTTACTGGAGCGTGTGTTTAATCTTATAAACGAAGTTGTTTGTTCATAAAATTTCAATTCTGACGTTAAGTTAAATTAATTTTCATACATTTTTCTCGGTGTTTATCAATCGAAATTGTTTGCATTTTACTAAATTTAATCGACCGTTACAAAAATATTGTAAATATTTAGAAAATTGTTGTATTTAAAATTCAAACAAAGCCTATACCAGACACACCACAACCGTATGCAAATACAGTCGACCCCCCTATAACACTGTTGATTATTCCGTTTTATATGAATTCCATGTTGTAGGAGTCACTTAGATTTTACAAATACAGTAGAGCGTCGATTATCCGAATCAATTGGGGACTGGGGTTGTTCGGAAGGTCGATGTTTCGGATAACCGATTATGTACGAAAAAATATATTAATTTATCCCATCTTGACATTTTTCTCCGTCGCGTGTCGCTTCGCGTTGAATTTTCGTCGATGTTAAGCCTAACGAAGACTATTGTATCGTTAAAAATTATTTTTTTTTATTTTATACGAACAAAATAAATAAATATATTGAAAAATATAAAAACAATAAAAAATTATACTTCAGAAGTTAATTTAGTATCAAAAACGTAAAATATTTGAGTAGGCCAAGACATAGCCAAAGATTGCAGCGCCACAACACTGGCGAAAATTTAAATTTGCCGACTGGAATTCTTTCGGATGATTGCCTTTCGGATAATCGACGCTCTGCTGTATGTGAGCCGTTCACAGCCTGGCACACGTATTTGTAAAATCTAAGTGACTCGTACAACATGGAATTCATATAAAACGGAATTATCAACAGTGTTATAAGGGGAGGTCGACTGTACACATCAAAATATAGTTTAAAATAATAATACTTATAATACATTATTATATCGTTAATTTGAAACATAAGGTGTATAATTTAATGGTATATAAAACTATAGTGGCCTTCATGTTCAGACTATAAGAACTGACTTTCATACAAGAAGCTTCAAACCACCTTTCAAGGCCAATTCTTAATAGAAGTGCGTGGGACAATAGACATAAAGGGGACTAATGACTCCATTGTTAAAAGGAAAAGTATGATGTACAGGGGCAAGACACTACTAATTTGAGATGGAGAACATATTTTATATTTAATTTTACGTGTATATAAATTTAGTAGAATAATTGGCAGATACCTAAAAGGGTTTTCTACTGAATATTTATGAAGATAGATGCATTGGCTGGCGCTATATCGAGGTACGGTTGTGTGTACACACGTAAGTACAGGTATAAAATATATAAAAAATATAAAATATATTTTTAATTTATAAAATTAAAATGTAAAAAAACTTACATCGACGAAGACTGCATTGATATAATCGGTGTTATCGTTACTTTGAAAGGACGTTAAATATGGCCGAAAATTATCAGCTGAAAACGAAAAAAATAGAGAGAAAAAAATTACACAAATTTTAATTAAAAAATTATGCAAACGAGCGAACGAAATTATTTCATTAAGCAAAAATAATTATGCAAAACGACAAAATAGAATAATCTTGATTAATGGCGATGAAATTAAATTGAAAAGTAATTAATTATGCGCCTGTTTTCCATATTGGTTAATTAGAATAATCGTTTAGAAGAAGTCTCCGTGCAATATATTTTTTTTAACCATTTAATTAAATAAACGGAAACTTTTTAAATATACAAAACGATATTTATTTATTTACTCCAACTGAATTCTTAATTTTGTACAGTCGATTCGGTTTAATTTCATTATGTTGTTCCTTTCTATTATGCATTTATATCTACGCCTAAACTCTACGTAAACATATACAACTCCTCAAACAAATTACTTACAAAACTTGTCTAATACCAAAACGTGGAGTTATTGGGTGCAAATTGAGTAACGTTATCCTACGGGCGAAAAAGGGCAATTGCCTGGGGCCCTCGCCGTCGGGAGGCCCCAAACCGATCTCTTATTCTCCCGAAGAAAAATGTATGAAGTCAACGCTGTATGCGTGACCCCTTATTCAAATTCGTCCGGGTCCCTCGGAGCTATAACGAGCCACAGGAAAACAGAATTAAGCTGTGCATTGTTGTTTCGGCGATCGATACGCCTCATTTTTGTTAACTTCTTTAGAAAAGGAAACGAATAAAAGAAGAGTTTTACTTAATTTCAAACTTAGAAAAAAGGATATATTACTCGAAAAATCGATTCGTCAATCAAAACTCCGGTATTAAGATACGTTTATGTGTGGACATAAATCATTCGTGGGCAAACCACGGCGACCATCGAAGAAGTTCGAGAATGTTTTCAACCAAAAGCTTCAGGCTACTCTATTGAATAATTACAACTAAAAATAAATCATAATTGAGACCTTGCCAAATTTCTGCCTAAAAATGGGGGTCGTTTTAAGCGCGGGGCCCCTGGCCAAAAGAAACATTACATAGATACGGAACGAATAAATTAAGACGAGGACCCTAAGAGGAATGGGCCCTCGTCTTAATGTTTTCGGAGTAAACGACACAAAATATGATTAAAATTATAAGTAATGATGCAAGGGATATTGTAATGGTACAATCATTTGCGTGTTTTTTTTACTCCATAAATAAATAAAATTGTTATCTAGAAAATTAGCGCAACCACCGAATAATTGATTAAAATGCAAAACAATATTCCAAACGCACAATTTAGATTTATTTATTAGAAATTCTAGAATAAAGCATGAATAGCAACTACTTTAAGAATAAAAATAAACCAGAACTGTTGTACTAAACTATATAAAAGCATCGGTAAATTCGAGTTTCATACGTCTTTATGCTGTTAAAAAAAGAGAGAGAGAAAAAAAATTCTTTTGTGGAAGAGATTTAAAATATTTATATTAACTATAAACATTTCAAAAGACCAGCAACTGTAAGTTTGGTTCTGTGAATTGGTAGATGATAACAAAAGAGTATAGAAGCTGTAGAATTTAAATGGGAGGAAAATGGAAAAACATTCGAGGCGCATGTGCTTAGAATACTTACGTCAATTCTTAACAAAATTTATTTTATAGTTTTGACTTAAAAAAATCGATTATTCTCTCTGTCGATACGTTATAAAATAATGCACTCACGTGGTACAATTGCAACATCTCTGTTCTTTTCTCTGTTTTCGGGTCGATGTCCTCCGGCGCAATCACCAATCGACAACTTGGAGGCCATTTTGCATATTTTCTACACGTTTAAAAAATATAATAAAAATTTCGTTATTAAAAAGAAAGGGGAGAGGAAAGGATACGAATTCGTAAATTAAAATTTAATATATAAAAATAAACCATCGAATGGTACAACAGAATCAAGCAAATACTTCATGCATTTTATACAAATTGACAAAAGGTCTCTGTTAAAAAAACAAATCGTTTCTAAGAATTACGGTTTAAAAATCGATGGTATATTTGATAATTTAATAGATTTTTTAAGGTATTTAATCATTTAACATGGAAATTTATCCGGTTTATGCATTCGTATTACGGAAAAGGTCTTTACAAATAATCCAGGTTCTATTCAAATTAACACATAATTTTAAAAAAATATCCACATTCTGAACATATTTATGCAAGGCTAATAAAATGAAGAAGCATAAAACTTAAAAAAAAAAAAAAAAGGAATAATAATTAAATTTTAGTCGAAATTCTTTGAAATTTAAGCGGAGATGTTTAAATGCCCATTGGCATGCAGCAGGCCAATAACCTAATAATTCTTTCCTTTCGGATATATTTATTATTAATTTTATTTAATTTTATTTTAAAACAACCATATTTATTTACTTATTTCTTTACTGAAGCGGGCCATATCCAGCATATTAAAAAAAAAAAAGCACATATAACTGTTAGGAGGGATTCCACATCAAGAGAACTTTTCGGTACTTACCAAACACTATACAAAGTTAGCATTGCGGAGAAAATTAAAATTAAAAAATGTGCTTTAAATAAAAAAGAAAAATTTTTAAATGCAAATCATCTTAATATAAAAAATTTATTTATTTTATCCTTCCTTAAATCTAATTTAAAAACTGAATTTATATGAAAATCTTTATTCTACCATGGAAATTAGCTTTAATCTTGATATTATATTATTATAATAAGAATTAGATTAACATTTTTTATAGTTTTTAACGATATAAACCAGCTTAAAACCATTATCATCATTAGTTATAATCGTATAAAATTGAATTATTACAGAAGAGGATTAATGGAGAAACCATTAAGAATTAAATTCATTTCAGCAGAAACTGAAGATTTACATCAAGATCCACCAATGGTAACATTGGTACAATACGATACCATAAAGAGCAATAATTTTTATTGAATTTTTAAGCAATTCTGCCGACTTTTTTGTGGTTTCATTAACTTTCTAGAACTTCATTAGTCCAAGAGCCATCATCTTTTTCATTAAGAATAATAATTAGCCAACAATTAAACGGTGCTTATGCAAATTGATATATTCAGGCAATTAAAATTTCATCAACAATCTTGAAAAAAAAAAAAAATACCTGCCTTTGAGTGAAGAAGATTGCATCGATTAATCAATTACACTGTGCAATTAATCCACTAATCTCCCGATGGTACTTCATATTTAAACCGCTATTTTAAATGGTACAATTAACTTTTTTTTCTTCTTCTTCCCATAAAATGTTTAGTCTATGTTCTTTCGTTGCCAGTTTAAGGGATTTTATGTTTTAATTTGCTAAATTTTTGAAGTTACGTGCAAATGTAATTAACATCACCTTTGAGAATACGCTAATTGTCCGTGTTCTATACACAAATAAAGGCGAAATTATCGATTTTAAGCAGTATAGAGGCCTATAAAAAGTGAAATTATGTGTCAGATTTATATTAAAAAAAATGCCCTTAATTATAATGAGGAGTTGTGTTTAACTTTAATAATAATAATGATTACCAGAATAATTTATTATTATAATTACATTGAAAATACCGAAAATTCAAAAGGAAAATTACAAATTAAGTTTATTTAACTTTTAAAGTATGCGATAATTACAATAAATTTGAAGTTGTTATAAGCTACAAATTGTTTAGTGAGTGTTTACAGTCATTTAATTAAAGAACTAGCCAAAAGGTTAACTAACTACGGAATTGTTTCGTGTTCCAGTAACTAAAACATTTAATTTATCATTACAACATGAAATTTTCTACCTAAATACAACGTTTAATTTGCTAAATTTTGGAAAGTTTTAAGTCCTTCCTTCGTAGTTTACTCGCTTATCGAGTTTGTGTTAGATACTTTAACACATTTTCTTTGTAGTAGAGGATTTCTCCCTTTTTATATATATATATAGAAATTGCGTGACTTTAGGAAAGAAAAAGAAAATCAGTAGAAGAGATTTAGCACGATAGAAAGAAAGGAAAAGCATGGATTTCGTGCCCTACTAGTTATTCAATAAGGGAGGTACGAAGCATTGTTTGCCAGAAGTGAAAATATATTCACTCATCTAATAGAAAAAAAATATTTTGTAACGTATTTTAGGATGTTGGCACGAGAAAGAAACATATAAAAACGTGTTTAAAATGCTACTTAATTGTTAAATAATTAATTATTTAAATCGTGAAGTAGAGTTTTGATTTCATTCTTCCACCATAAATGCATCAAATCCATTTAATTCTAGTTCTACTGCTAGATATAAAAAATACTAAAAGCAACGATTATTCCCGTCTTCTAGCAAAGCCTCAGGGATTTTACAAGAAAAGAGGGGAAAAAATGTCACGTCTGGAAATAAAAAGCGAGAGGAAATATAAGATTCAGAGTCGAGATTGGAAGAGAATAATATCTAATGGGTGACGTTTATCCCTTTGACGATGTAACAGATTAATTGATGAGTGTGTTACTGTTCATCAGATATCTGAACAATTAAATGATTCCACCAGAAATATTGTGGAAAAAAAACAATAGTTTAATTAATTAAATATCTGACTGGTGTTAATAAAAAAATTGTCTTAAGGACGAAGTAAAATTTATTATAAAGTTGCAGAATTTACTTTTTTTTTGACTTAGCTTCTCTACTCGAGTTGGCTTTTTATGAGATAGCTTTTGTTGATTTATGGCTTTTTCTTTCTTTATCTTTCTCCGTTCTACTTGTCACCACTCGAATCTGGTAATGCATTTGGAATATCTCGTAACATTTCTTTCTTACGCACTTATTTTATTTTCTCATTTATTTACTTATATTTACGTCCAATTTTCTATATATTTTACTGTCGATATCGAATAAAATTCGAGTGAATAGAACGATGTTATATTGTTATAAATAACAATAATATAAATGTAAGGAACGAATTTCCCAATGTTAGGTATTGTGCGTTTTTCTATTTAATCTCTCTAATGTCTTACATTTCAATTTTTCTCTTACCATTTAATTTTATAGGCAATTGTTCAGTGCAGTTTCTTCTTCCAAGTTGGCACTTAGTGCAGTTTCTTTTTCCTTTATTTTTTTTCCTCCTACTCTCTACCACTAAACTAAAATCAACTAGTTCATATCTCTAGTGACAACTCGCTCCTTTTTTATTACATTAACACCATAGCCTTTTTACAGATTAATTTATCTCAAAACATTTAATTCTATAGGATTATTTTTTAAGTTAACGATAAAAAATGATGTATTTTAACCTATATATAATTATAACATGGAAAGTATTTGTTTCTAAAAGGCGTACACACCTCATATTCTCTCTGGTATTCGTTTTGTTTGGTTATAGGATTCTTCATTGATTTGTGCTTGAGTTGTTGAGAAATTTGGGTGACGGGAAACCAAGTGATACCGCACACGTGAGCTTCTTCCAACGTTTCGTGGATAAATCTATAATGATCCTACCGAAGAAAAATGACATAATTTCGATTGTTTAAAAGCTAATTTCTCGAGGTATTTCTTTGAAGAATCTTACCACGTTTTCTACCATTCCTCTTCTGGATTGTCTTAACTTTTTGGTATAACCGAATGCATCGTATACGTTGTCTTCTTCGGCTAATTCTAGATTAGCATCGATACAAAGATAAGTTCCTGTACGACCACAACCGTCACTAGAAAATATATTAAATATTTTAATCGTACAATACAAAAAAAGGCAACGTTAAGTGGTAAAAATAATCGAAATACATCATAAATATTGGCTTTAAAAAATACAAATGGTTGGGATATTACTTAAAATAGTATTTTAGTTATTGTACAAATATATTTGGCAACGTAGAAGAGTCTTATATTAATTAATAAACACTTAGAACCTGTCACACAAATGTCTTTTTATAAAGATGAAACCTTTTTGAAGTTATATTTATCTGATTTTTTTATATAAATGGGCTGTATAATATATCTTTTCCGGACATAAATTATTATTAAAGATTAGGACAGAGCCAAAACTTACATTGTTATTCGAAAAAGATATATCTTCATCACCATGTATTTTATTGAAAGTCAAGATTGAAACTGTAGAAGTAGTGATCAATATATCATCATCATTTTGGGGGGAAAGAGAACTTAAAATCGATATTTAAAAATTCTTTTTAAACATTTTATATATATACATTTGCTGTATACTGTAATTTTAAAAAGGCCTTAAATGTACGATATAAAGGGGCAAAATATTTGATGTTCCTAACTAAAATTATATATATAATTTTTACTATTTTAGTTAATTTATACAATATTTTCTGTTAGAAATCGGGGATAAATGATTGTATTTCGAGACGAGTTACTATACAATAATTTATCCCACCAAAAAATAGAATTAAATGTAAAATATATATCTTACCTACAATGGACGATAGTAGGACCCGAGTTAGGAGGGTAACTCATATAAATCCTGACTCTACGTCTAAACTCCAATAAAGCACTGGAAAATGGGCAAGTGTGAGAGGGCCAATTGGTATAGTGTAATTGAGTAATGTCTCTCACTTCGTCACCCTTGAAAGAAGAAAGTAATTCTTACTTAACTCGAAAATAAGTAATCGTATATTATAACAAAAGAAGAATTGTCTTACTTTTCTTAACCTGATGGTTCTAATAAGAAAGTTGGCTAACATTTCTTCGGATAGTAATATCGTCTCTAAATCACCGTACGATTCCGATTGATTGATTTCGCTAGGCCAATATTGAACACACATAACCTATATAAAATAATATTAACTTTCAAACTACATCCCGAATAAGCCTATAATACAATAGAAGCTTTGTTCTGAGAGCCACGCAGAGCTTCTATGAAGTAATTAATGACAATATTACTTACTCTAATAAAGTCAAATACTTTGGTCAACATAACAATAACGTAAGAATTTTGTTCCCAAACCATCCTCCAAAAGTCAGCAATGGTATATTCATTTGGTCCTTTTAAATAATAATAATAATATTATGAAAAGGAATAAGAAGAAAGTTATTTATAAAATGCTTTACCTTGAGCTGCTATGTAGGCGTTTGGCTTAACAATACTCTAGAATAGAAATTATTTTATATATTTTTTATATTAAAGAAAAATAGTTGTTAGCAATCGTGTAGAATAATAATAATAATAATAATAATAAACTTAATTATTACTTTTATTCAGCAACGTAAGAATCGATCTTCTAATTTTTAAAACGTGAGAAAATTAGCAATAATTTGCATATGAGAACGTTATGATATTGAATAATAATTCAAATTAACGGAAAAAAATTTGAATATTACTCCCGAATCAATATACTTTTTTTTTAAATAAGTAAATATTCAAATATTCAGTTTGTTTGAAGAGAAATAAAGAAAATTTACCAAACGTGCCATTGAAATAAGCAAAAATTTTTTAAATACTTTTCGTGTTTGATTAATCGAAAGGAAGTAATAAAATAAAAATTTTACTATATAATTATTATATTAAATTTGTTTTGTTAACATTTTTTGCTTTTTCTCTTTCCTATTTTCATTAGTAAAAATTGTAAACGAGTAAAATCGCAATTAAGTCCGACCACATTCGAGATACAATACACGACCCCCTTTATCTCCCCAACCCCTCCACCTATAATCACCAAAATTTAACACCATCAATCCTCCTAATAACCAAACATCCCTGCCAAATTTCAGAAATTTTCGACGCAAAACACAGAAGTTATTAAGCTTTAAAGATGTTGTAACAGAATAAAACCCCCCAATGTTTTTATTACATTAACACCATAGCCTTTTTACAGATTAATTTATCTCAAAACATTTAATTCTATAGGATTATTTTTTAAGTTAACGATAAAAAATGATGTATTTTAACCTATATATAATTATAACATGGAAAGTATTTGTTTCTAAAAGGCGTACACACCTCATATTCTCTCTGGTATTCGTTTTGTTTGGTTATAGGATTCTTCATTGATTTGTGCTTGAGTTGTTGAGAAATTTGGGTGACGGGAAACCAAGTGATACCGCACACGTGAGCTTCTTCCAACGTTTCGTGGATAAATCTATAATNAATATAATATTTATATTACGATTTTAAATATAGCGTTGTAATAATAAACGTTGTATTAATAATAACAACTTCTAGAAAAATGGAAATTGTGTGTGTCTAGGCAGTGAATCGATGGGTACCGGAATCCAACAGTGACCACCTCCACGACCTTGACCTAATTCTTGGGGATTAAATTTTATCATTTAAACTGTAAGATGAGGGAAATTTTAAATCTGTAGACTAGTTTTAAACGAAAATCATGGGGGAAATATCCCTCCACGCGTGTCTTTTAAGGTAATAATGATGAAGACACACGATTGATGCAACATATCTATATGAATTAATGAAGAAAATCATAGAGCAATTCTAGAATTAAAAATGCGAATTATTTTATTTAATACTTCACTATATACCGTTTAATAAAGGGAATAAGTTAACTTATAGATTTATACTTACGTCAATATACGAGGCATTTACATAATCCGAGTCTGGAACTCCGTGGATAGTTTCCAAAACTACTCTATTAAAATCAACTGGAAAAAATAATAATAAATCATTTTAGGGAATTGTAAATATGAGGAATAAGGAAATTTACTGTAAACTCTATTCACGTTTCATGATCATATTCTATTCACTTATAAATTCATACTGTCGTCCGTCCGTCTTTCCTTAATCTCGAGAATGGGTTTAGATAGATAAAATACGATACTAGCTATAAAAACCAAGGAGAAGGAGGCCCCAATTAACTATATATAAATTTTCCACACAAAGCATAAGTCACGTTATTTCAATTCAAATATTTTCCCCTGGAAGATGTCATACTTACAAGACACCGTTGTTAAAGGGAAAAGTATGATTTACAGGGGCAAGCCACTACTAATTTGAGATGGAAAGCATATATTTCGATTTAAATTTCTTAATGAACAACTCAAAAGTTTCATTTATTTGTAATAAATTCTTCTAAAAATTCTATTACTAGAAAACTTAAGTAAATAGAAAAGAAAATTTTAAAAAAATTTCATATAGGACTTAAATAAGTTAAATATTAATTTTCTAGATGCTTTAATATCTGATGCAACAAGTTTATATTACATTTTCGCATCGCCAACTATAAAATTGATGTTTTTTGCCCGAGGAATTTAGAAATCGTTGGCTCAAGATATGAGAGTTAAAACGATCAGAAATCTGTCAACTCTCGCATTTTTTCTATAATAAATGTCTTGTAGATTAAACTTTCTTTACTCCTCTTCTATATCTGATTAAGAATTACTAGAATAGAAAGGTATAATAAGTTAGAAAACCCCCACATTTGGCTTGTAAGGTATAAAATGAATTACAGATTAAACATAAAATAATCTTCTCTCTTTTTTTCCTCTCTCTCTATATATATAAAAACCTTAAAAATGTAATAGATATATTCTTATATCTGAGATATTCGTTATTTAACTTATATATAAGAAGCTATTAGATTTAATAAAGCCAGTAAGTAGATACAATAATAAACTCCTTACTCGATATATAAGCCTTGTACCATGTCAGATTCATCTAAAGAATATAATAAGGATATTAGATTACATCCCAAATATTTCCAATAGCTGCTGCAACTGGCAGAAACATAATACTAAGGAATATATATATGATTTGGAAGGAAGATCGGCATCGTGTTGCTCGTGTTCATAAATCTTCCACTGAACGGTAACTACCAAAATTTGAGAACAGTTAAACGATCCTTCCAGACATTCCTTTAATCAATAATACTTAGGATATCTCTCATACCAACGTTTATAAAGATATAAATATAACAGCAATTTATTAACATTTATTGTAATAATTAACGACAATACAAATCTACTAAATTTTAAGTGTAAATTAATTAGAAACACGATACGAATTAATAAACAGAACTAGTTATTTAGAGGCATACGAGGGTGTCCCATCGATGAAAAATAATATATTTTGGACATTACAGATAACAAATATCATTGTAGGAGCGTTATAAAGATATGTTTTTATAGAAAATTTCGTATTGCATGCTTAAAGTAATTGTTGGAGAGAAATATCTGAGATTCAAACGAGGACTTCTCTTCGTTTGAAAACGTTTTTACAAGAAAAATCGATAATCGATGCCATGTTAAATCTTTCGATAATAATACATTGTACTGTCCTACATTACAAGATCGGGTTTAATATAAATTAGAAACATTTTTATTATTATTAAAATCGAGAATTATAAAAAAATACTTCCAAATGTTACGTTTATCTTCTCTTATCTATTATTGAACAGTACTTAAAATGTAATTTTCTTATATCCCTTCTTTTACAAGTTATCTGTCACCGAAAAATGATGAAAGGATATAGTTATAAATCATTTCTATGGTTTATGTGAAGAGCAGAAAGCTTTCTTGGATCACCAGCAGCTTCTTTCAAGCTAAAAATTGAATAAGACGAGGATCTTTTATAACTGTTATTGAACTCAAATTGACAATTAGAGTAAAAAATGGTCATTTCTTACTTAATTTTAAAAATCTTTGTATTTTTATTTATTATAAAATACCAAAAAAACCCTTCAATTTGAGGGTAGGATGGGTTTTTCTAATAACAACGAGTAAAATCGTCATTAAGTCGAGATACGACACACGATCCCCTTTATCTCTCCAACCCCTAGACCTTTAACCACCAAAATTTAACAGCATCAAGCCCCCTAATGAATAAACCTCTCTGCAAAATTTCAGAAATTTTCGACGAATAGTACAGGAGTTATTAAGCTTCAAAGAGAGTGGACACACACGCATTAATATCCATACATACTCATCGCTATACTTTCCCTCTGTCATATATAATAAAGCCGGAAAGTAAAAATAGTAATAATTAAAACCAGAAAACGTTTCAAGACATAAATTTTGATCATTTTTAATTGTAATATTATTGTAATAGAAACAGGGAAGAGGAGGAAAGAAGAAGGAAGAGAGAAGAGAGAGAGAGGAAGGAGAGAAAGGGGGTAAAAATCTGACAAAAAATGTTCTCGTCCTTCAGATCTAACTTCGAATTTTAACTAATCCACGTGGTTTTTTCCCGATAGATAGATAGTTTTACACGATAATCTCATTACTCATTCAATGTAGCCAGCCAAATTTATTACAAGTAATACCCATTAGTGATGAAAATATTAGGAAAAAGAAATAGTAAAGCCCCAAAAAAATCCTTGAAAAACTTCCAAGTCTTTATTATTAATATGCGTCAATTAATAAAAACAACGTTTACATTGACACATAAAAGTATAAATATTTCCATTCTCACTACCAAATTGATTAAAAATTTTACATAATCATCGTTCAGTTATAATTTACTATGTTATAACATTTATAAACAACCCTATCGATATTTTAAAATATATTTCTTTGAAATTTTATAAATATTTTCACATCTAATACCTTTTAAAAATGGAAAGAATCCTGCAACATCCCTTACAATTTATTTACACGCTTAAGTTTGATCCAAAATTTATTACCGAAACTTTCAATAAATTTTTAAGAATATAAAATATAGACTAAAATAAAATCAAATTGTAACCTTTGAAAAAATATATAAGAAAAAAAAGGTAAAGAAAATCCTTGTATTTTTTGCATTAAACGATGAAGATTTGAAAGAACAATCGATCTTTGAAGATTTGAAAGAACAATCGATCTTTGAAGATTTGAAAGAACAATCGATCTTTGAAGATTTGAAAGAACAATCGATCTTTATTTTTTAATCGATCCAGTATGAATCTGTAATCGATTCCCTTCCTGGCTTTTCTCTTTTAGTTTTCTAGCAGACTCCATTACAAGGTTTCTCTAGCAGTAGTTGGTATTCTAGTGATAGCATCATAAAACTAGAAACAACCAATCTTAAAACCTCGTTGCCATTTTATTACACGGGGTGTTGTAAGTAATGTCCGGCTAGCCAACACACTTCGATTATTTCTTCTATAATTTCCGAATTCTAATAATAAACAAGGATATAAATTAATTATAAAACTAATTATAATCATTTGTAGAGATAAATCTTATTCATTTTTAATGAAACAATATCGTAAAAAAAGTTGAAAATCCATCAGATTACAAAAATCCAAGAAAAGGAAATTAAATGGATAATTAAATTTAGTTGTTTTGGACGTGATTTTACAATATACATAAAGAGGAAATGGAGTTTATTGGATAAAAATAATAACTCCCAATAGAATACATCGTACCCCCATTAATGGATGCGAGAACTCACCAGAATAAATTATTTTTAAAACTTCATTACTGAACAAATTACACTACGTTCTCTTGTCTTCGTCTTAATAATTGTAGAGTTCACTAATTAGTAAATTGTAAAAGAATACACCTTAGATAATACCGGGTTAACCTCGATTAATCGGGACGTTACTGTAATATATTTGAATCTAACACACAGTTTCGTATGAATGAATCTTCTCACAAATAATAGAGAAGTTGCGGCCGAAAGTTTTCATCTCTCGAACGTGAACGTCGAACGTCGAGCGCCGTTATCTTGTAAGCGGCGCTCGACGTTCGACGTTCACGTT